CACACATTCGAGACGAAACCTAAACCCCAACTGTTCTTCCCTTTACGAGGCTATCACATCCCACTTCCCCGCTTCTCAACTCGTTAGAAAACAGTATGTTTTCTCCCTCACTGTGGTCGATCCTTCGTGACTAAAGATCGTAATCATTTTGGTGTACAATTTTACAAGAACGAACTAAACTCTTCTATCAGATTCTATCCACAGTCCACCGCAACGTAAATTGAAACACATTGGACTTTTATTTTGGTCCGTCCATCTATTTGGGAATAGAATCAGCGCTCTTTATCTTTTACAGAAAAAAATCAAACCTTCCGTTAAATACAGTTCACTGTGGGGCAATTTAGAATTGCACCACACACCCACACGCACACCCACACACACTGTATCTAAATAGGGAGTGCCCTGTTGTCACGGTAAATAACTTTGATAATATGAGCATTTCCCTTTTTGCGTAGTTCCTACAGCAGTCTATGAGAAAGTAACTAACAACGGTTGTATAATGGATGTACCAGGACGTACCTTGTTATACCAAGAAATATACATATAGTACTATAAGTAACCTAGTTTCTCATCATTCATTATATTATAAGAAGCTCACGGAATAAAGGAAAGCATTTTACTTTAACATCATGTTATGTATTTATTGTGTTTATCTCAGCTTTAACTATAATAAATATAATAATCTCAGGAAGCATCCAATCTAATTTCAAAGACAACCCATATCGTATAACAGAGAAAATTGAACGAATAGTCGCAGCTCATCGGAAAGCACGAAACAATATTCGGACAGAATTGGGAAACCGGTATTCTCGGCCGATGTTATGATGTTTCCGTAAGAAAGGAAGCCTAATTCTCCCCGCACGATGCGACGACGCTCCAATTCCATACCAGATTATTTAGGATCAACATAAAAGGGTTTCGTGTTGATGAATTCTTGTTTTATGTGAACAACATTTTAATGAAAGTGTTTATAGGTAATAAGTTTTAGCTCTGAAGCAAAAATTTAGCAAAATTATTAGAAACTACTAATTGAAATATCTCTACCGTCTCAGATATTGTAATAAGAATACCTATTTAACCGTCTTGCGAACAAAATTGATACTCTGATCAGAACTCATAAAAGCAACCTTTTTTTCACTTATAACACATATACATATTTTAACACTGCGAAGTGATTAATCGTTCTACATGCAATATAAAAACTAGAAGCAACAAAAGGAAAAAAGGAAAGTATTCAATTTCCGTTCTACTCTAAACGTGCCATATCACAACTTCAAACACTTGACTTTTTTTATAAGTTAATGTTTTTATTGGACCCTAAAACCAATAAAGAAAGCATTGATGACATTTATAAAGTGGTCCCGTATTCTCAGTAAAATGTGAAGGTCTCGAGAGTGAAACAGTTATATTAATATTTATTCAGATTCTGCCTTTTCTAAATTGAGTTCTATTTATTATTTTAAATCTTGCAAATTAATAAAATTGTGAATTTAATTTATTACGAAATATGCAAATGAAACTGAATGAATATCAATTTTTTACCATATTAGTGATTAAGTAACATTCATTTATAATTTTAATTAATAAATGAATTTATTTTTGGAAAATTATTCGGCAATATATAATCAGACGGCAATTTACAAACTAGCAAAAGATATATCATAGAGTTCTTAGATTTTCGCGATTTTTTACACACATGGTAAAAGAAATAATTTTTTTCGACTGTAACAAAAAACAAATATATGCGATTTAGATCCGAAAAAATAGTTTTATTTCCTATGGCAAAAAACCTTTTTTTTTTCAAATGGTACAAATTCAAAATGTACAGGACGATTTTACGATTTTTTTTGATTGTCATATTTTTAAAACCACTGCCGAATTTGTGTAATGTTATAGTGCATAAATTGTTTAAGACGGCGACTGAAACCACCTTCGTATAATCCCTTAAAAACGATAGAAGTACGTAAGATGGATTAAAGTAACAAAAAATAATTTTCATTATAATTTGACGAAAAACGACCTTTGTATTAATAATTATAACAAACTAGTACAGTAATTATACAAAAAAAATTTAATATCTATTCAATACAAAATTAAAATTTTCATTACTTTGGAAAATGAGTAGAAAAAAAAATGTTTTTCACTATGTTATTTTGTTTCTTTAATGGCTATTAATTATCGAAATTATAATGCATGATAAAATCTAGACGAATTATGAATTTCTAACCTGCCTTAGCCAGGTAGTTGATAGCCACCGGCTAGAACCCTCCAAGAAAACATATAATGCGTTGGTACAGTAGAGTATGATACAGAATTATAAGAAGAATTAAACATATTTTTAGATTTTAATAAGCAGCTTTCACAAGGTCCCGACAGCAGATATAGAGTATAGGTACATATTCGGACAAGGTTTGTTTGGGGAATGTCGAGGGTACGCTTAATTTTTTGTCCCACTCATCGGAATTTCACCCTTTGGGTATCCATTATTATTAACAAATGTCCGGAACATGTACGTACTCGTTCTGACAAATTGCTTTTTCCTAAATGTGTAGGCAGAATTCCGTTTGAATATGTACGAGTATATAATACATCTTTACATCCATCGGGGTGTGACGATATGTACTAACAGACGCTTTAATTAAAATTGAATTGAAGCATATATGTTCGAAATAATGTGGTAAAGCAACCATACTTATAAATACTTGTTAGGTTTTTATTCCCAAACAAAGACCACAAAAAAACGTTTGTTGGGTAAAACAACAAGTTCCATCCAGGGACGTATTGCCACCTTATCTATTTCTGCCGCCAAGCGTGAGATGTGAGCATTACTGCGTTCCGGTTGGGAAGGGTAAGGGAGCACGTGAAATTACAGGCACATGGGACTATTCAACTTATCATCTCAGGATGACGAGCACAGTGGCAGTGCCCCTTAGATCTTCGGAATTAAAAGCACTAAGTGGTGCTGCAATTGTTATGGAATGGCGTGTCGCTTACCACCATTTTTATACTCAAAAATTTAACAATGTTTATAGATATATTTCTGTATGTGAAATAATAGCACATCACACATGCAACTGACAGCCTATACAAAATTATGCTTTTATTTTTTTTGTCTTGCTGCATTTTAGTGACGCTATGTGATATTTCGGCTCTATAGTGCATTAGACCCAGCATTATTATTAATAATAATAATAATAATAATAATAATAATAATAAAAGCTTTATTTATCTACATTAAATAATAATTTAGCCTTAAATAACATAATCTGAAGTTACACATGTAGATAAAAAGGCAAGAGTCTCAGCTTGAGCTGTTTTTCAAACTTAATTTTTTTGGTGAAACGCTACATTTAATTCTGTAATATTAATAATATAATAATTCTGACGTGTCTCGACAAGCTCCAGTAAAATGACTAAAGTATACAATTTAAACTTAAAGCTATGATTACATTGTCATAATGGTACCAAATCCACATAAAATATTTCATTTCAAAATACATGAAGTATAGATAAGGATGAACTGCACACATAATAACAATAAATAGTGAAAAATTACAATATATATAAATAAATAAATAAATAAAGAACAAAAATAAAAATATGCATAAATCCGCTGGACGACACTACATCCAATTACTAGCAGAACTTTGCTTTGAAAGTAACCAAAGCCTGCATTTCCTTTTGAAAGTGTAAGAAGACTTCAAATTCCTTATTGGAGGAGGCAAATCATTCCAACACTTAGATGCAGCAAATTTGAAACTACCGCGATAAACCGTTAGTCTAGGAGTTGGTGATATCTGTAAAGTAGGATACCGTATCGATCGTACATTGCCATCAGCCCCGTCGTTCCAATGCAACTTTTTAGCTAAATAGGAGTGCATGATTTCCTCAAATTATGAACGAATGTATTTAATTTCAATACTCTACGGTTTGTCATGTTTAAAATATTGAATGTATTGAGATATGGAGTAATGTCTGCACGTGGAGGTACCTCATAACAGTACCTAATGCATGAATTTTGAACTCTTTGAATTTTCTTTTCGAATTTTTTCAGTAAACAAGGCCCGTATACTATGTCTCCATAATCAAGATGAGACAGCACTAGACCGTCTATTAATCTTTGCTTTACTTCCGTAGTCAGAAAAGGTC